TTTTTGGTATTACTAAAAAATCGTTTTTATTTTTATTATTATTATAGTAGTAGTAGTATAATAATTATTATTATTATTATATTATATTATTATTATTATTATCATTATTATTATAGTAGTAGTACTAGTAGTAGTAGTAGTAGTAGTAGCAGTAGTAGTACTAGTAAATAGTAGTAATACGAAAAGTAGTAGTTGCGTAAGTAGTAGAAGCAGTAATAGTCGGAGTGGTAGTGGTAGTAGTAACAGTAGTAGTAGTAGTAGTAGTAGTAGTAGTAGCAGCAGCGGCAGCAGTAGCAGAATAAATATTCATTAAGGTTGATAAATATGTTAGCAGCGGATGTAGAGAGACAGTACTCACGAGAATAGTTCCTGGGGCCGGGCACCTGCAGGAAAGGGTAAAGTTGCGAGGTGAACCAATACTTGGTAAGTCTAAGGTCGTACTTCAGGTGCTGGGGGAGCCACGGGTCCTGGGTCATCCAGGTCGTGGAAGTACAGACCCATGAAGAAGGAAGCGAAGGAATCATTGGTCTCGAAGTACGACTTGTCTACCAACACGTCTATGTCTTCATTGCTAGAGACGACCTCCAACACTGGTCGTATGGATAGAGAGGACAGTGGAATGTTTTCTTAATATTCTGGATATTTTTGGAAATTCGTATCTTTAAATTTATTGAAACTGGATATGGGTAAATTACCTTAAATAGAGAAATTGAACCAGTTATTGAAACACGTTGTCACTGAAACAGTGTTATTAAATTTCAAACTGGATGAAGAGGTACAAGAATGGTATATATTAGCGACAAGAAGATTTAGACACATGTGCAACACCTGGGTATCGTTATTGTAGACGTTTCGCCATCCAGTGACTTTATCAGTTATGTCCTTTATCAAATTATGTCTTAGAATCTGTATTGTAAAGCCACTGGAAGGCGAAAAGTCTACGATAAAGATTCCCAGATGCTGCACATGTGTCTCAATCTTCTTCCTGGATGAAGAGGTATAATGCTGATATATATGTGCATAAAAACACGATATGTTGAGCTGTATAAGTCACTAGCAAGATTACCCGTTACTGACCAGAAATATTTCGGCTCACGAAAGTTATGTTAGTAAAATAACTTATGAAAAGTTTTCGTACTTTCGTTCTTCCAATGATCCTAAAAAATTTCTTTCTCGTGCCATCTTTGTGAAGAGGTGGATTTGAGGGTCTCCGCCCCCCGTCTCCCCGTCTCCCCCCATACAGCCACTTCGGCAAAAAGTAAGTGTGGGGATTTATGCCTCTGCATCTACCTACTTATGAGGCAAGTATCGAGAAGGTAGAGGAATAAGACACTTATGCAACAGTTATCTATATTGCCGAAACATTTCATCATCCAGTGGCTTCATCAGTCAAATACAAAAAAAAAAAAGGAAACAGTGTGAGACGTCAAGGAGTTTTAGGTAATCAGTCCCTCAATATTGAGATGATGTGTTGAGTCCATTATTCAAGAGTAACTGACTGAATATATCGACTCCAGGATGAGACACTGATCACCTTAAACTCCTCATCTTCCACTGTTCTCTACATTGGACTGAAGAAGTCACTGGCTGACAAAACGTTACCACAATAAAGGTACCCAAATATTTCACAAATGTCTAATTTTCAACTTGTTGGTTTTCTAAACAGTTTATCCTAAAGGATTTATATGTTACATATAAGTGAGTCGCAGCAGTGGAGGCCACACCAGAGGTAGAATCAACTAGACATATATATGTGTTTTGCTGTATATTTCATTGATAAAACTCCTGGTTGTACAGCAAGTGGCGTACCTAAGGCATGGCTGGTATGGTACGTGCCCTAGGCGCCATTTGAAGGGAGGCCCTGGGGGCTACTTGAAGGGAGGCCCTGGGGGCTACTTGAAGGGAGGCCCTGGGGGCTACTTGAAGGGAGGCCCTGGGGGCTACTTGAAGGGAGGCCCTGGGGGCTACTTGAAGGGAGGCCCTGGGGGCTACTTGAAGGGAGGCCCTGGGGGCTACCTGAAGGGGAGCCCCGGGGGCTACTTGAAGGGAGGCCTGGGGGCTACTTGAAGGGAGGCCCTGGGGGCTACTTGAAGGGAGGCCCTGGGGGCTACTTGAAGGGAGGTCCTGGGGGCTACCTGAAGGGGAGCCCTGGGGGCTACTTGAAGGGAGGCCCTGGGAGCTACTTGAAGGGGGGACCTGGGCGCCACTTGAAGGGGGGACCTGGGGGCCACTTGAAGGGGGGTCCTGGGGCGCCACTTGAAGAGGGGCTCTGGGCGCCACTTGAAGGGGGGCCCTGGGCGCCACTTGAAGGGAGGCCCTGGGCGCCACTTGAAGGGGGGGTCCTGGGGCGCCACTTGAAGGGGGGCTCTGGGCGCCACTTGAAGGGGAGCCCTGAGCGCCACTTGAAGGGGGGTCCTGGGGCACCACTTGAAGGGGGGCCCTGGGCGCCACTTGAAGGGAGGCCCTGGGCGCCACTTGAAGGGAGGCCCTGGGCGCCACTTGAAGGGGGGACCTGGGGGCCACTTGAAGGGGGGGCACCACTAAGTAGTTTCTGTTTAAAGTCAGACAAGTCTTCTTCAGATGTACGATCTCTCTTTGATTATAATGGGACAGCAGCTATATGAAGAAATTTTGGATTGCAGAATGTTACTGCCAAGTCGGACTAGCATGAAAATATAAAAATACTTATTGTTGAGTATGGACATGAGAGCGTCTTCCCCAGTCCTCCCATTGCTAACTAACGCAGTTTTCATCGCCAGCTGTGAGAGAACATTCAACAAGTTAAAACTAATACTTCCGTATTATTCAACGCAGACTTTGTGATCTTGCTTACTGATAAGAAACTGAAGAAAAAAAAATTAATTTGAGCACATAATAGACCGAACTGCATCAGTGAAAGCAAGGAAGGTGCAGTTGTAATTATCAAGTAGCGCCATAATTTGTTAATTAAAAGATTACTGAGTTTGACTCATATTTCTGAGTTGATTTTGCGGTAAAGCTATCTAAAATATGGTTGTCAGATGTTTGAACTGGGGCGCAATTAAAGTTCTAGCCACAGGCACTATTTTCCGTAGATACGCGTCAGTGTACAGCTGTGATGAGAGGGATTGATGTGAGGACCTGTCTACATGGGCCAGTAGACGTGCTGCAGTGTTGCTCTGTACATAGTGCTCGAGTAGAAACCATGTTACAGCAGTCTCCAAAATGGGCAATATCCAGCAGTCACGCCATATCCAAACTGTTCAACAACAGGATATTGCCCATTCTGGGGACTAATGTAACATGATACCTACTTTATTACTATGAGTAGAAGAGGACTGTAGCAGATATACAGGCTCATGATGATAGATCCTTCTCAAACCCTACCCATCTCACCACAGCAGTACTACTACAACCCTCTGGAAGTTTGATTCCCGCCATTTTATATAGGACTGAAGAAGCTAGTGGCGGTGAAATACTTTACAACAATAAATATCCTTCCTCCACATACTGTTTTTATACTTCATCAGTCTCCTTAGAATCCGTTCAACATGTCAAGAGTCAGGATGGCAGAGCTTTTCAGAAAGTGCTTAGGTACTGCCGTCTTTGTTCAGGTTCCTTCTTACCATAATTCCCAAGTCTTGCTCACATTTTGTAGGTTAATTACTAGAGTCAATTATAGCTGATAACACTAGGCTGCATTATTTTTTTTATTGACTCTATGGTATCTTTTTCGGCATATATATATATGGAAAATAAGTGATTTATTTTTTTTTTTTTGTCATCTCTATCACATAGGTTGTCAAGTTATACGGAAACGTTACTTTTCACTTTTCGTCTAACATAAGTAAATGAGAAAGTGGTATATTATCAATTAAAATGTTTATCGTATATTGCTTAAATGTTAAATCTAATTCATTTTTCTTTATTTTCAGATTATTAATATGTTTAGAGGCTGCATAAATTCACCAGACATATTTTGCTATGTCTGCGGACAATTCATCCCTTCAGATTCCCGGAGCAACATTACTCCTTTATTGAAGCGCTGCTACTTCGCTTATTTTGGCAGCAAACTTGGAGACCAGGACAAACCATTTGCACCACACAAAGCTTGCAAAAGTTGAATCAGTAAGCTCCAAATGTGGTCAGTTGGCATGGCGGGAGCAGTTGAACCACCATGATGACTGCTACTTTTGTATTACTAGAGTAGCTGGATTCAACAAGAAAATAAAGATCGCATAATATTCCCAAATATTCCTTCAGCAATAAGGTCTGTTCCACACTCTGAAGATATACCTGTACCTGTGTCACCTGAGACATGGCAAATTTCATCAGAGTCTGATACCAGTGATTCTAAGGAGATGGAAGTAGAGTATGAACCACCAACAAATGACGATCACAAACCCTTCAACCAAGTTGAGCTCAATGACTTGGTGAGAGACCTTAACCTTCCAAAAGAAGTGCACAGTTACGTGGCTCTAGACTGAAGGAGCACAGGCTTCTAGCTCCTGGATCAACATTCACTTAGTACCGTCATCGTGAAGGGGAATTCACTCAGTTCTTTGACAAAGAGGAATCTTTAGTTTTCTGTTCAAATATTTCTGGCCTGTACTTCTCTACAATGGCAACATAGCTGCATCTGTGCCAGTTGGCCATAGTGTCCAAATATCAGAAACTTACGCAAATATGAGGACATTAATATCTGCAATCAAGTATCCGAGTCACAATTTTCTCATCTGTGGTGATTTAAAAGTTATTGCTCTCCTACAAGGTCTTCAAGGCGGATACACCGGTATCCCTGTTTTCTGTGTCTTTGGGATAGTAGGGCAGACAGCCAGCACTATGAACAAAAAGACTGGCCACCAAGAACCAGCTTCTTACTCGGAAATCACAACGTGAAAACTGTGCCACTAGTTGACCTCAAGAATATTCTGCTGCCACCATTCCACTTCAAATCAGGGCTTATGAAATTTTTGTGAAGGCCTTGAGCAAGAATGGAACTGCTTTCAAGTACCTGGAGTCAAAGTTTCCTCGTATAAGTGAAGGCAAGCTAAATGCAAGAATCTTTGTTGGCCCTCAGATTCGGGAATTGATGAAGGACAAGCATTTTGATGAAGCATTAGCAGGTGTTGAGGTGAATGTCTGGTTTTCATTCAAGCAGATTGTCCACAACTTCCTGGGAAACAGGCGTTCTCCCGAATATGATAAAATGATCCAAGACCTGATTTCAAGTTTCCAGCAACTTGAGTCTAGAATGAGTGTGAAGATGCACTTTTTGCACTCACATCTTGACTATTTTCCCAACAATTGCGGGGACTACAGTGAGGAGCAAGGAGAGAGGTTCCATCAGGATATTTGCACCATAGAAATTCGATACCAGGGCAAATGGAATGTCAGCATGATGGCGGATTACTGCTGATCATTGTAACGTAATGGTCTCGATGCACAGCACCTGCAAAAATCAAAGAAGTCCTCCTTCCTTTGATTCAATATGTAGGCTAACCATATGAACTTCAAATCAACATGTGGTGGCCCGGTGGCCTGGTGGGTAAAGCTCCCGCTTCACACACGGAGGGCCCGGGTTCGATTCCCGGTGGGTGGAAACATTTCG